AACCCTTGTTGGAAAAGACCTTCGCCGAGCTGATCCCCTTTCGCTACCTAGACTTCCAGAAGAGACTCGACAGGCAATACTGGACAAGACAAATGGCTTTGATTGGAGGTTATGTCAGCAACGCCCAGCTTACGAATGTATCGATCGACTTTGACAACGGAACCTTCGCTTTCGATTGGAAGACTTTCTTGAAAGACTTCTTCCAGCTCACTACCTATGTTCGAGCACGAAGGCAGACTCAAGGAACCGTGAGCGACCTGGCGAAACAGGCGTTCGAAGCCTTTCGTCTCCAAAGATCCCCTTACACCAAAACGCGACTGGATACGCTTCGGTTGGAGCGCAAATCGTGGGAACATGTCTATGGTGAAGAGGACGACGCCTGCCATACAGAAGGGTACTTCCGCCGCTTACAATCCGCACATAGCGAAGCTGGACTAGATTTCGATTTAAACAACATGATCGATGGTATGGACGAAGCGGAAATCAGGAAGACGGAGGTCAAGGCTACCGCACTCATGAGATTGTTCAGGAACATTCGGCTGATGAATAGCTTCCGTGACGGATACGAGAGCGATGTAAGCAACGGAGGAAGTCCATGAGTGTGGGCCGGTACCGACAACAAGGCGGCTGGAGAGTTTAGTGAGAAGTGCGGGACCAATGTAGGCTCCCTGATAGGGTTGGGGTGCTTGTGAAGAGGGTTGTGGAAGGGCGTCTTCTTCAAATCTGTATGTAATCGGGACAGACAAATAGCCGCTCCAAGGACAACGATTACCCTAGTCGCACATGACCGGCCTCCTTCGATATCTAGAGTATCAAATCATGCCGGTTTATCCAGAAGCAGGGCTAGGCAAACGAATGCAGAACGGGAGACGATTGCCGTCACGGTAGGTGTCACAGTCTCGACTGCCACCATGCAGCCAATGCAGGAGCTGTCAAAGAGTTTGAAAAGCACTTCAGGATTCTGACAGGAGCCCAACGTCCCGCGCGCACTCGCATCTTGGCCTCAGGAATGAAAGGGTGCCTCCTGCAAGCGTTCGAGCGACGTTCATCGAGATGGGGAAGTGTCGCACCTTCTGCGGGATCACCGCTGAAACCGTTCGCTTGAGTTCTGACACAGCTCACTCTGCGAACTTCATGGGTTTCGAAACGGTTGTCACTGCGAAAGATCCTCCGCAATGAGTCCGCACGGCCTGTCACTCACCTGTCTAAACGAAACATGCCGACCGACTTCCTGGTGGCGGCTGCAACGTCGTCCCGCAATGCACCACGAGTATGCTCGCTAGCTAGACGGGTGTGTCACCAGCTTACGGTGGATGCGAAAAAGAAAGAAGACTAATGTCGCTGCTTCCATAGCCTTGCAGCAGGCTAATAAGCCAACATTACCCCTCTTTTATTGCCAATGAGGCCATGGCATTTCTCCGTCAGACGATTAGAGCGCATTTTGCGGCTCGAGGGTAACCTGGTTCTGGGCTCCAGGGTTAACGGCTTTGCTGCACACCTCCCACACCCGTGGAAGTTTTGCGGTGTGCGCGTGCCGACATCGAAGACGAAGGGCAAGCTTGGGGCGAGTCTAAGGACGCAGCCCCTCACTTACACCAACATCGCGATCTAGGCGTAGGGAAACAAGTCCTGTCTATTTTGGATAGGACGGATGGTCAAGCTCGCACACAACGAGCTTCAGATTCGGCAGATGCGCCTAACCGAAGCTGTGCGTAGCATCGGTGACTTTGCGGAAGCACATGCAATGAGACGAGCACGAGACCCACGCCGCATCTCCTTCCGAAGGCTACCTGAGGACGCCTTTCCAGAACCCACGGTTGCCGTATGTTCCGTTAATCTCTGTTGAGTACCCAGTTAATTAGCCAACATTTGGGCTTGAAGCGGGGCGTTCGATAGTGCGTGCATGCCGCCATCGGGTCATTTACTGACTTTGTTCAGCCAGATCAGGTCATTTATCAGCCGTGCGATGCGTGGCGTCTGCAGCGCACGGGCGGCGGGTGAAGGCCAGGGAGGCCTGGGCGTTGTGGCATCCAACCTCCCGTTCGAGCAAGTGCAAACCCAATCCTCAAAACTGTGGGCACTTCTGCCGACGTTTGGTGTTCGTCTGGAGGGCCTGATGCTGAAACTAAAGAATCCTTCGTTGGACGTTGGTTGACTGTGACGAGCCTGAGCCTGAGCCAACTGCGCCGCCTCCCTAAGGCAGAATCGACGTCTCGCTGTCAGACATCGCGATGAGCGTGGAGGCGATGTCTGCAAAAACCAACCTTCACAAGACTTGGGAGCGCGAATGGAGGCTCAACACGAAGATAGAAGAGCGCCACCGGAATGCGGCTCACTAGAAGGCAGGTAATGCCCATCGTATCGCTCGCCCATCCCTGCCTTCTCATCGCAAGATTGAACGTATCAGCGCTTACAGCAGACACAAGCCTTTTAGCCAGATGCCGAGAGCGGCAAGGTGACATGCGGAAAGCGGATTACCCTGAGACGCTAAAGCCACCTCCAGGTATCACCAATTTGGCGTGCATATCGCTTCAAGGATAATAGTAGGAAATCTGGTCAGGATCATGGTCCGTGCCCATGTACCTACACATGGCGGCGCATGCGTGCCCTTGCCGGCGGGCCTGTCTAACGGCCAAGCGCGAAGGTTACAGACGAAAGTATAAGTCTGTCGAACCGCCTGGTCTAAGAGGTAGTGTAACAACGATACCAGCCTCGAGTTCTCCACGCTAGCAAAGACTAAGGGACGTCACTTCTATTTTGATATCATCGATCACTTCATCGCTCCTCCTACATTAGGACTTCATCGCTCCTTCTACATTCGATCGCAGTACATATACCAGCCTCGCATATCGCATTACCAACAACACTTCCTCATCCTTGAGTATCATCATAACCAGTCATCATGCTCTTCTCTACCATCACTACGGCACTGCTCTTTGCCACATCTGCCACTGCAGCAGCCCTACCAAGACCTGCCAAACCGCAATACGCTCCCGCCCGTAACCTCAACAAGCTTGCCAAACTCTTTCCCCAGAGCGCTCTTCAAGGCCCAGGCGACTTGGATCTCAAGTACGTTGTGCTCGGCATCGGCACACAAAACTACACTTGCGGTTCTGATGAGAGCGCGGCTCCTGGTACTACTGGCGCATTCGGTAAGAACTCATTCAACTTGACAGGGAAGGAACTAACAACCACCAAGCCACCCTATACGATATCGGTACGAAGCTCAACGACGAAGCATTTGCCAAGTGGAAGATTCCCTCTATCACCCCTCTCGCACTCTCACTGTACGAAGTGGCTCCTGGGCTAGTCGACATGAGCCTCCGACTCCAGGGCTACGAACATATCACCGGTCACCACTTCTTCGCCGACGTAGAAGGAGCGAACACACCAACATTTGCCTTCGACAAACTGAGCACGCCATTCCCCATGACCCAAGTTGCCAAGATCAGCAACGTCAGTGCACCATCGTACGCCTGCCCAGGCAAGAACGGTCTACCTGCCGTTGACTGGCTATACCTCCAACACAAGACCGGCATCACTCAGGGAGGAATCAACACCGTCTACCGTGTCGAGACTGCCGGTGGTAACAAGCCTGCCACTTGCAAAGGCATGCCAGCCACATGGGAAGTCAAGTACGCTGCGCAATGTAAGTATACCCGAAACACCCACGCAGCTAGAATAGTTCACTAACATCTCACAGACTGGGTCTATGGTCCCAAGTAATAAGCGCCGAGCTTGCGACGCTCGTTTCGAGTCAGTTACGAACACTACCATTTTCTCATGCCTTCTACGATCTTTCCATAATTAGGTTAGTCGCGCGCGGCTATTTTCGTCCCGCAAGATCTACGGCAGGGCATGGATTCTCTTTTCTTGTAACCTTTCATTTCATCTCTTACATCTACGATACCCTTTGGTTTTCATGGTTCACACGACTGTGTGGGACTTCGCTGTCACTGCGGGGCATCGGCATGGCTATGGGCGTTTACGGTTTTTTGCATCTGGTGGCTATAGTGCACAAGGATTGGGTGTGTCCTTTCGTTAATTCCAAAAGCTTCTTGCTTACATTGCGGTCGCGAATACTAGAACAGTGGTAGTTCCAATTATGATGTGCTTCACTGTACGATGCATCACTTATGCGAGATCAATGACAGTATTGCGAAGGGCCTATATTGCTCGCATCTCACCATCTCTCCTTGGAAAGTGCCATGACTGCGCCCAGCGAAAGCTGGCTGTAGCAAAGTGAAGACCACCTCAAGAGACGTCGCCATCCCATCGTCACACAGCCAACACGGCACATGCATAGCCGCACTCCACCAACACGGTCTGCTGACATCGACCAAGTGCCGCGCTACATACCAGACCCACTGACCACGTTGCGGCACAACTCGCAGCATGCGGCACAGTAAGGCGCGCAAGGCTGCTTGCGCTACGATCTCCACGCCATCTGACGTGCGATGCTGCCAACCTCTCGTTTACCTACAACACTATCAATACCCACAACCAACTTCCCCCAAGTCCCCGATGTCTCTCACGCGCCTCCTTCGCACCAAAACCAAGAAAGCCTTACCCCAATACATGACGTGAACCACTCGCCCAGCCCTACAGCCCCTTCCGTCAGCCATTATTACGAGAACTACGTTCGAGTATCTGATTGGATGGAGACTATACGACACAATGGTTCGTACTACTTTGGTGGCTGTGGCAGCGGGTATTTGGCTTGGCAAAGCGGGTGTGGATGGTGTGGCACAAATCTGGTTTGACGGCAGCTACCTAGGTCATCCGGAACTTCACTACTTGAGCGCAGGACGCACATGGAGGTTTAGTGTAAACACTATCGTTATCTTGGTACTGGGAAAAAGAAATCGAAGGAAGTGGGTACGGGAATTTGGCTTCCGTGCCAATGATGTGGCGTACTTGCATTGGATGCTGCTTGAGAGCACTGTAATTGATCGGATCTTCGTTTTGTTTATGGCTTTATCCCATTCGTTGCATCGTGTTCAGCTGCGAGCCGGCTTCTCCGCATGACTGACAGTCACCTCTGTCGTGCGCCTGATGCCCCTCGAGTTATCCTTATCATCCAGGATGTTATCCTCGCTTCCAACTCGCTCCTCGGTGACGCTATAGACAATGTTCTTCTTCCCCTGACCTGGAGTCGTGAACTTCTCAAGCACACTGTCTCGCACGCTGGTTCTGGTTGACAGTTCGAAGTCTTCGTTGCCATTCAATGTTCCGTTCGTTGTCAAAAAGGTCCTGCGACGCTTGCTTGGCCTTCCACTGCCGAAAGTCTGGGCACGTTCGATGTCATCGTACTGGTTGTTGTTGCTGGTTGAGCTCGAGCTCTTCTTGAAGAGCGGCTTGAGGCAGGGTACGGAGGCTGCGATAATGCCCATGTGTAATTGCATGCTAAGGTGGAGAAAGTCAGCTATTGTCAATTTGGCAACGACTGTCACGAGAAAATTCGAACTGCTACTTACTTTCCCCAGAAATTTGTCCACTGGTTGCTAGATTACGTTAACGCGAGAAACCCATGATGATCGCACCCGACTTACAACGTCTGGTCCTGCATCTGCATTGTGCCGAACTGGTAATGTGCTTTGGGGATACCCATAGCAGCGGCACTGGATCCATGTGAGTTGGGGTGAATCAGATCTGTTGTAGAAGTCCATACAGCCAGCCTACACTCAACAGTGCTATCAAGCTCAAACGTGTCTGCAGCGACATCTGAAGCTTCCATATAATGGGTATGGGTATTGTCGCAAACATGATATCGGTAAACATGTTGCATACTTTTGGGGATCAGCATGTTCCAGTATGTCTCTTCGCGCATGCAAGTACTCACCAGTGTTGGCCAACGCAGTGCCAACAAAAAAGGTCCATGAGTAGCACTTGGCGCCGATCGTAGTATTCCAGGCACCGGATACGGGTGAGCAACGAAAGGCGAAGGTGAAGAATCCGAATATGGTATACGCCACAACGAACACAATTAACGACCACAGAGTGCGGGAGAACCATGGACTGTTCTTTCCTATCCGAAGTAGAAACAGTGCAATGGATACTTTCAACAAGCCGAAAGCCGTTATAGCTGAGATAAGGCTTTGGTAGTAGACGGCTTCATTCATGCCGGCAAGATCGGATTCGGTCAGGGTTTGCTGATGTCGTCCAAGACCATGGTAGCCTTGGATGATGAAGCTTATCAACTCGCATAACCCGCCAAGCTGTCTGTGTCAGTAGTGCTCGATAGTTCAGGAAGTTGACCTCTCGAAATACTTACATACGCTCCTATGATGAACATATCATCCTTGGCGGGCTTGCGCAACACAAAGAACCGCGCATAGAGCCGGAGAAAGACAACAGCAGCGGTAACGATGTGCGCAATAGCAGATATGGCGAGGATTCGAGGCAGGTTGTTCTCAGCTGCCCATTCAGGATCCAGAACTGGTTGCCCAGATGGCCTGCTCTCGGGTGCCATACTCATCTTGGAGGATAGGAGGTGATCTAGTCAACACTGAGAAAGGGGAAGTAAGGGAAACTGATCACCAGAAAACCAAAAAGGTTATGCATAAGTGCGGCTTTTGATAGTTGACCTGGGCGACGCGTTTATTGAGCCTCGCTATTCCAACATCGCTTGCACCTCTCATTAAATCCTAACAACCGTGCCGCGCAAGGCGATGCAAGTGATGGCTCTCCATTGGAGTACCATGCGTGTAGCATGTCCGGTATCACTTCAGCCACACCCATCTCTTTGGGACCGCGGCTGGCATGAATCCTAGAGCCTCGAAACCAGGAGGAATCTGAGCCGCACGTCGCGATGTTGGGTGGACGGTCCAGACCCTGACATGTCTTCAAGTAAGCAGAATCTTGCACTCGCGGTAAAATCAAATCCTTGCGCTATATGGGCACATACTTGATGAGACTCAGCGCTCTTGTTCTCACTGTCAAGTGTCCTCGCTTCGACGAGTGTTGGAAGGGATTCAACTAGTGGAATCTAGCGCCAGTGAACCCAGCTGATCTCGGGACGCTAACTCCACCGCGTGCCGTCCCACGGAACACCGTGGTGACTTCCGCGCGATGAACACGCACAAACTCATCAGCATCTGTCCCAGAACTACCGGGAATAATGTCAGCATGCTCTGGAGTATCTCTTGAAAGTGGCAGGATGTAATCACTCACCATGGTCGCACACCGGAGCATTCGGCAGCCTACCGAACCCTTTGTCCGACCCGCCTTGGAAAATCTGCCGCTCCTGCGTGGCTGCGGCGTGGTGATCCAAAAGACGACCTCGACCCGGTTCGACCAATCCTTCGGTGCTCTACGATTCAGCTTCTACAGCCGGTAAAACCCAGGCCTCGGTTGAAACCGAATCTCGACTCTTATTTCCTGAGCTTATGCGAAGCTACGGCAATGCTTCTCACACACCCATGTGGAAAACACGTGGGTTGCCTCAAGGAGAGCCCTAATCCAGTAACTCCGATGCCGAAGACTACACCGTGTACGACGTGCGTCCCTCGCCACTGCGAGGCGACCGCGTCGGATGCAAATTAGCGAACCTTGCAGAGGTTGCTGCTGCATGCACGTACAGATTGATACTATGGGGCAATTCGGTATTGTAGAAGCATATATGAAAGCGTCGGCGCGCAGCTGTTGTCGCTCTGTCCCACCGCAGCCGCTCACTCCTCTCACTCGGGTTCATAGACAAAGATGCGTTTCTCCGGAATCTCAGCCATTGCGCTGGCCCTTGCCAGTGTTGCTTCGTCTGCTGCACTGAAGCCTCGCAATGACCTGCTTGCAGACCTTCAAAACCAAGCTATGGAGGCATTGAAGCAGGCAGAGTCAGAAGGTACGCTGGGAAAAAGGAGCTGCTCCCTTTCCAACGCGTATGCCCGTCGGAACTGGTAAACATCTTTTGTAATCATGGTTTAAATGAGACAAAACTGACATCTGTCCCAGGGATGACTTGAGCAAGAAGGAGCGAAAGGCATACATCAAAGCCGTGAAATGCCTGACTACATCTCCATCGAAGACACCTGCAGGGCTCGTGCCCGGTGCGAAATCACGATACGACGACTTCGTTGCCCAACACATCAACCAGACGGTGACGATACACGCTACCGGCAATTTCTTGAGCTGGCACAGATACTTTTTGTATGGTTACGAGACGGCGCTGCGGGAAGAGTGCGGCTACAAGGGTTACCAGCCGTACTGGAATTGGTTCAGTTATCAGGACGACCTGAGCAAGTCCCCCGTTTTCGATGGATCTGACACAAGCATGAGTGGTGACGGTGCTTATTTCAAGCACAACGGCGCTGTCTCTGGTGGTGACATCAAACTTCCATCCGGAAAAGGAGGTGGATGTGTCAAGAGTGGTCCATTCAAGGAGTAAGTCTAGGATCCATATCCCCTCATTCAACCATCCATCTAACAAAGCTCAGCTTGGAAGTCCACCTGGGTCCTGTCGACCCGATCATGGACGGAATGACCGCCGTATCCACACCATTCGAATACAACCCAAGATGCCTCAGACGCGACCTCATTGCCACCACCACGGACTACACCGCCGCCAATCTCTACAACCTCACACTCGGTGAAGCCTCCGAGAGCGTGTACACCTTCCAAAACGAGCTTCAGGGCCGTTTCCCCGATGGTGTTTTGGGTATGCATGCCGCTGGCCACGTCAAAGTTGGTGGCGACGCCGGTGATTTCTACAGCAGCACGGTCGACCCGATCTTCTTCTTGCACCACGGCATGATTGATCGTATGTGGTGGATCTGGCAGGCGCTACACCTCAACCAGGCGAAGACAGTGGCTGGTACAATTACGCTCTTCAACAACCCACCCAGTCGCAACACTACGCTGGAGGATCTCATCAGCACAAACTTCCTCAACATGCCAGACAGGCCGATTGGAGACCTGCTAGGTTCGCTGGATGGTTCTCCATTCTGCTACATCTACTTGTAGTCGAAGACAAACTTGTACATAGTTAATAATTATCACATCCCCCAAGAACCATGACCTGCGATCAGCGACGAACGATGTGACACTCAGGGTTCCGTGTGTAGATGCTCTTCACGCCCGCCTTAAAGAAACGCGTCTCCACATTCCGCAACCCACTGATTGGTCCGATCACCACAAGCCATCCCCATCCGCTATCGCCATCCTACTAACACCTCCAATAAAATAAAACAACCTACCATTTCCTCTCCAAATGCCCCCAAAACCATGCCCAAACAGCCCATCCCCATAATCGGCGCGGGCATAGCCGGCCTAACCCTAAGCCGCAGCCTTCTCCACCGCGGCATACCCAGCATAGTCTTCGACAAAGCGCCCCCAAACCGGCGAGGCTTCAACTACGCTATCACTCTGCACTCCACCGCCTACAAACCGTTATTAGAAATCCTAAACCTCTCCGACACAGCGTTCAAAGCCCACGTCGCCATCGACGCCGAAGACGGCGGCGAAGGCAAACATGGCGAGAACATAGACGTATCCAGCCACGGCGGCTTATATGACACCTCCACCTCTTTCCGCGCCAACCGCGCGAAGTTCGAAACTTTGCTAAGTCAAGACCTGGATATCAGGCTAGGCTATTCCCTCCAAGAAGTCAAAAGCACGCCCACGGGACCGAGATTGCGCTTTTCCAATGGCGAGATGTGGGAGGGCGGGGAACTAGTTGTAGGCGCTGATGGTGTGCATTCCAGTTTACGCAAACTGCTGTTGCCGGAAAAATCAAGAGTGGATGTTTTGCCTTATGCTGTGTACTACGGGAAGAGGTGTATCGTGCGGAAGGACTTTAACAGTATCTTTGGAGGTAGGGCGGAGGGAAACCAGGGGAGGAATGTTTGGCAGACGACCAAGGGGGATGTGGTGCTTACTGTTAATGTGGATAAGAAGGAGGATAAGAAGGTGTGGGTTAGTTGGATCTACTCGCGGAAGGCGCGTGGGGAGACGGATCCGCTGTTCAATCCTGCTAGGTCAACGAATGCGGCTGAGAAGATACCTGTGGAGTTTTTCAAGGAAGTCCGCGCTCAGAAGATCTTTGGTTATCCTTTCTCGGCCATGTTGGATGTGCAGAATATGCGCAGCGATAGGATATTGCATTGGCTGATGCGGACAACGTCTACGCCGTTGCCTGAATTGCATGACTTGCTCGCGAAAAATGGCGTGTGTCTGTTGGGTGATGCAGCACATGCGGAGCCTATTTTGGGAGGTAATGGAGCAAACGCTTCCATCATCGACGGCTTGAGTCTTGCGGATGCCATTGCGAGCGGTGAAGACGATGGTATATCGAATTGGTACAACGACCGCTATCCGAAGTGGGTGCAAGGGGCTGAAGAGAGTCAAGCAAACCTTGCGAAAATGCATGGGTCACTGCGGGCAGGCGTAAATCTTTGAGTTGATCATCTTTTGTAGCTAAAGAAATCTGGGCAGCCATAGCCACCGCGCAGTCAATCCGTTATCAGAAGTATGCCGACATGCATTTTTCACCATTCATCCAGACCGTACTCGTCCGTCCCGAAGTATAGAGGCCGTTTACCAGCCACCACCACCAGTGGCGCCACCGGCATCACCCCACGAAGCATCACCACCAGCGGCGGCAGCAGCAGTGTCGCCGCCAGAAGCATCATTGCCCCAGCCACCACCGCCTCCATCACCACCATCCTCGGCAACCGGCTGCGGGCAGCGCTTGATCGTGTGACCCATCTCTTGGCAGTTGTTGCACTTGACCTTGGACCAATCCTTGGGCTCGGGGCAATCGCGAGAGAAGTGACCAGTCTTCTCGCAGTTGCGGCAGAGAGCTTTGTCAGGGTTCTTGGGCTGGTCACAGTCCCTGGCCATGTGCTCCGTGGAGTCACAGTTTCGGCAGGCGCGGGCGACGACGTTGGGACACTATTAATTGTTAGCAAGGGCTAGGGACGGGCTTTTGGATGTGTACTTACGTCCTTGGAGAAATGACCGGTCTCGTTGCACTTGCGGCACTCGACACCTTCAGCAGAACGAGGTTCAGGACACTCCTTGGAGTTGTGACCCTCCTGCTTGCAGTTCTTGCAGGCGTAGGGGTTGATGCGCTCCTTGGGACAGTCGCGTGCGCGATGGCCGTTCTCCTTGCAGTAGACACACTGGATCTCGGGAGCAGTGTTCTCGCGCTCAGCTTGCTCTTGCTTGCAGTGCTTACGTACGTGACCAAGCTCACCACAGTTGCCGCACATCGGGACACCACAATCCTGGACGTAGCCACATGATGCAAGACGCTCCATGTTCTCGGCGGGATCTTTGGGCCAGCCTGTGGCCATCTTGGCGCGACGGGGCTTGGCAGAGAACTGAATGGAGAGGACGAACTTGCAATCAGGGTTACCGATGAGGTCGATGATAGTCATGTTGGGGGCGATTTCCTGCTCCTTAGCGATGAGGAAGACTGCAAGTCCATCGTCGCGAAGAGCTTCCTCGACGCCCTGAAGACTGAAGTTATCCATGGTAGCGCGAGCGTATGCCTTCAAGCAGACACGGAAGACATCGAGGTCCTTGACTTTGGCCGCGTCGATGAGGGCGATCCAGGCAGCCTCAGCATCCATCTCGGGGACGCCAGACCAGTTGACAATGCGACGGGACTTGCAGTCGACAGCACGGTGACCTTGTTGATCGCAAAGCTTGCAGGTGCCCTCGAAAGGGCGCTCAACACGCTCGTTGGTACAGTCCGCCTTATTGTGACCGACTTGGCCGCAGTTGAAGCACTCGCCAGTGAGGCCGCCTCCACCGCCCTCAGGCTTGTCAGGGCAGTCGCGAGCGAAGTGACCGGTCTGCTTGCAGCTATAGAATATGTCAGTATTGTCACTGTAGCCAGGCTGTGTGGTCGGATCGTGTTTTGCTTACATTCGGCAGCCGTCATCGCCAGCATCACCTCCACCACCGCCGGCGTCACCACCACCCCAAGAATCTCCAGCACCAGCGTCGGCGCCAGAATCACCACCAAGGGCAGGGTCCCATGAAGAGCCACCGCCTGTTGTCATGTTAGTATAGGCTGGGGGAAGTCGCGGTGTCACAAACCTGCAGTTGCACCAGTGTCGTCCCAGCTCATAGCTGCGGTTGTCGGCGAAGCAAAGGTTGACGTCGAATTGAGCAGATGAATGCGATTGTGAGCGGAGATAGAGAGAACTTGAAAGAGGGGAGATGGAGTGTCGGGGTTGAAAAATTGGTGTTGTGGGCGCAACTGCTCTGTTGATATAGGCGGCAGGCCCGTGCTGAAACTCAGCGATGACGACACAGGTGAAGGTGAAGCAGAAAGGGAAGATGAGTATCGGCAAGAGGAAAAATATGTGTACCGCACACAGGAAGTCTCACTACATGCCAATGCAGTAAGAGAAGGTGAAGTGGGTACTTGGGTATGAAGAGAAGGTAACGTGACGAAGGCCGCTTTGGGACGACAGTGAGAGAATCGCCTACCGAAAAGAGTAGGAGCAACAATGAGATCATGAACACGAGCATAGATGATAAGGCAAAGACATTGAAAGGCATTTGGCTCATGAAATACGTAAACACACATCCTACACGCCAAGGTCGCGTGCTTTCCCAGAAGCTGGTATCATGTCATGAACCTCACAACGAAGAGGCCGAATGCCTTCACGGCAACATGCTCAACCCAACCCAGTACCTGAACTCCAAGTAATGACGTCAAACTTAGAACAATGACCGATCATACACCGCGGAACTAAGATATTGTTAGTATATGTTGGATAACGGTAACTGAATGTCTCATAGGTGTCACTTACCATTCGCACAACCAAGAACCACATAGCTCCAATGAATCTGAAAGCAGCCAAACCGGCAACACTGTACAGCACTACCGCCAAGTAGATGGTGGCAGCGTCGTTCTGCTTCTTCTGAGCCTCGTCGGGACTACTGACGGTGAGCTCCAGGCCACCTGACTGCAGAACCAAGGCTGATAGACCCAAGTTGCAGAACATCCAGAAGAGCACGACACCGGATCGGAAACCCTTGTAGTAGTCTTCTTGCTTCTCGCTGGCTGACGGCACCTTCTTCTCTTCCTTCCACTTTGCGCTGAAGACGCGGAGTTCAGTCTCGTATTGGGTGTTGAGATCGGCATCGTCAGTTGGTGCCTGAATATCTGCTTTACCATCAGCCTTGGTGGTGACTGAAGGAAGCTTCTCCGGCTTGTCGTCTCCTTTGGTACCCCAGGTGATGTCGTGAGTATTGCAGAAGGCGTAGACGTTGAGAATGTTGATGTAGGTGGGTGTCATAAGCAGGTACTGGAAGAAAGAGGTGAACATGTGCCATGGGTCCAAGAAGATGATGGAGACCACTAGCCACATGACGTACGTCGACAGCAGTGATATGATCAATGTAGCAAAGATCTTATCCTTGAAAAGATCTGCCGCGTTGAAGCCGCCGTTGGTTTCGATCTGTCCTTGTACGGAGCGAACGGTGATGAAGATGGACGCGAACATGAGGTATGCCATGATGATGCACCAAAAGTAGACCATGGACATGTACCACTTATTGGAACCTTGAGGCCGATTACCGAGTGATAATATGAAACATGTTATCAGAACAGCAATGTAGAGCCACTCGAAGACGATAAAGAGAACTTTACCCGCGGTACCGAGTTCGTTTTGTAAAGAGGCAGTGAGGATGCGGAAGACCAGGAAGAAGTTACCGAGAGCGAACCAGGCGAAGATCATGCTGATAGTTTGGTAGACAAACTCAACGAGGAACATGGTTTTGCGCAAGAAAGAGTGATCGCTGCGGAAGATGTCGAAAGAGTGGGCCAGGGCGTAGACAGCAGCGAAGAAGGATCCGTTCAACCAACGACGACGTTGACTGATGAACTCGGCCATGGTGGTCGGTACATCCGTCTCTCCGGTAGCAGACTTGACGTACTGCAGGATCCAATGGCAGTTCCTCTTGGAGACCAACTCGAAACACAGGATACGGTCCTCAGCCAG